GCTTAAGTATTGCTATAATGTCGTCTTTCTATTCCATTGTTTACTAGTTATCACTGTAGAAGCGCTGCGAGGTCACAAAATCGTTCCAATAATGTTGCATTATTTTTACTTTCTCCTTCTGTCTAGTTTACACAGTGGTATGGAAACATCTCAAATAAATATTCAAACTAAAGAAAAGTTGAAAACTATTATATATTTATGCATATATAATATATATGTTTGTCCCCCATCCCTATATCTCAAACTAGGCTTTTACCCAGACTTTAGATTTAATCGGTCATGGGCCATAAATTTGCAACTTTCAAATAAAAAATAATCCTTTTACAGCACCGAGCACGTGGATACTAAATTCAACTTTATCAATATTTTATGAAAAATTTTTAATAGTTATTTCATATGTGGTTGCAACAAAATCTTCCCCCCCCCCACACTGTTGTGTCCTTAAACACTCCTCCTCCTTTTTAGCCCCCTCAACCTAGTTTATACTAAAGAACAACTTGTAAAAGAGTATAATATTATTTTAAGCTTTCCCTTCTATATACTGCACTAGACTATATAGCTGACTAACACCTTGCTCTAATCTAGGCTAATCTTGGCTTAACACACACACGTGACCTATCAATCAGGATTAAACACGTGTTCAATGTTCACTATCACCTATCAATCAGGATTAAACACATATTTAATGTTCACTTTCACCAATTAATCAGGATTAAACACATGTTCAATGTTCACTATACCTATCAATCAGGATTAAACAAATGTTTAGTTTTCACTATCACTTATCAATAAGGACTAAACACGTGTTTATTGTTCACTATCACTTATCAGTCAGGATTAAACACATGTTCAATGTTCATTATCACTTATCAATCAGGATTAAACACATGTTCAATGTTCACTATTACCTATCAATCAGGATTAAACACGTGTTTATTGTTCACTATCACTTATCAATCAGGATTAAACACATGTTAAATGTTCACTATCACCTATCAATCAGGATTAAACACGTGTTTATTGTTCACTATCACTTATCAATCAGGATTAAACACATGATCAATGTTTACTATCACCATTAATCAGAATTAAACACGTGTTTAATGTTCACTTTCACCTATCAATCAGGACTAAACACAAATTTATTGTTCACTATCACCATTAATCAGGATTAAACACGTGTTCAATGTTCACTATCACCTATCAAGCAGGATTAAATACGTGTTTAATGTTCACTATCACATATCAATCATGATAAAACACGTGTTTAATTGCTCACTATAACCTATCAATTTGGATTAAACACGTATCAAATGTTCAGTAGTATTAAATGTTCAGTACCACTAATCAATGAAGATTTAACACGTGTTTAATATTCACTATCACCTATCAATCAGGATTAAACACGAATTTATTGTTCACTATCACCATTAATCAGAATTAAACACGTGTTCTTTATGTGGAAAAAGATAGGGGAGGGGGTGCATGGGGTAAAGATTATATGTGTAGGATTCATATATGCCTGTTTTGAGTGTCCAGTGTGCAGTGTAGGAAATTAAACACGTGTTCTTTATGTGGAAAATGAGAGGGAGGGGGTGCTTGGGGTAAAGATTATATGTGTAGGATTCCTATATGCCTGTTTTGAGTGTCCAGTGTGCAGTGTAGGAAATTAAACACGTGTTCTTTATGTGGAAAATGAGAGGGGGGGGGTGCTTGGGGTAAAGATTATATGTGTAGGATTCCTATATGCCTGTTTTGAGTGTCCAGTGTGCAGTGTAGGAAATTAAATGCATTTTAGATTGCACGCAAATACTAGAATTTTTAACAACAGATTTCTCATTATACTAGAGTTACAGTTGACCATGGACTTTTCAATTACAATGTCGTTAACGTGGAAAAAAATATTTCCGATCCTTGAAATAGTTTTATCGTTTCAGAATTTGTTAGACGACATTTCTTTCTTTTAAAAGATGTATCGAAAACTTGTTAAAAATAACATCTCAAATCAACTCTGAGACCGAAACTAATGAGCTTACGTAGCTGAAAAACCTACGGCCGGTTCAAATTAAACCACCGATTCAAAGTTAAAGATTTAGGAAGGATTTAAGTCGGTGATCCAAATTTTAACCTGAGATAGGCCGTTCAAATTAGGTCTTATTGCCTCCAAGTACTGCCTTGATATCGGTAAAAGGGAGTTAAAGGGAGTGGCCGTCAATGTATGGTAGTTAAGCTGAGATTGCGGTACGTAGAGAATTTTAAAAAAACTCATTTGAGACATATCAGACGTTTTTACGGTCCATATTTATTCTAGAAGTGCGCATATTTAATGTTGAAAATCCTCATAGATTGTCCATTTTGGAGGGATGATTTTGAGAATCAGGTTTATTAAAATGTATTATAGCTAAAAAAAACATTGATTAATTTATTTTCAGGGGTGAAAAAAGGGAAGATGAAAAGAAAAACCCGCCATTCTCGACATAACAGGTAAAATGAATACAAATTAAGATGTGTTCGGTTTCTTCTATTTGAATTCAATTGTTTTTTGGTTTATACTATTACGTTCAAAATGAATTTGCCGACAAAACTTATAAAAAGAACGAATCATGTTTATAAATCAAAATAACGATCGAACAGCTTGCTTTGATAAGGACCGAACTATTATATGCCATTTGCTCCATATTTAAAACAGATTATTAGAAAAAGGCATGAAAATGAACACAAAACAGATTATTAGAAAAAGGCATGAAAATGAACACAAAACAGATTATTAGAAAAAGGCATGAAAATGAACACAAAACAGATTATTAGAAAAAGGCATGAAAATGAACACAAAACAGATTATTAGAAAAAGGCATGAAAATGAACACAAAAAAGCATAACGTGTGAAGATTTCTTTAAGAAAAATTCCCAAATACTTAAAACCTTGGAATTAGAATTAGTTATAAAGTCATAAAATTTGTTTATGGAACAAAAGACATGTCCACTGTTCAGTCTCATAGATAATATAATAACAAATATACCTCTTAATGTTATTCCAGTCTTTTTCAAGCAAATTTTTACATTCGAGATTGAAATTATATAAGTTTGTGAAAAGTCTAATTGATCTTTATTTTAAGAACATTCATTTTAACATGGCAAACAACTCTTTAAACGGTATTTAGTTCTGCATCTTAACTATGAATTATTTTAGGGGAGGGGGGGGGGNGCCCCCCCCCCCCCCCCTCCTTCTCCTTCATTATTTATAGTACAATGTAATTCAGAAAATTTTTTGCGAAATTCCAATCTGCATACAAGGTTTGCAGTGTTTAAGGGGAAAAGTGCATTTAATTGCAAACAGTATTGTATTTGTCCGTTCAAACTTGAGCAGTATCAGGACCGGTACACTCAACACTCAACATTATTGACTTTGTAACCTTGTTATCAATTATATCGTTCAAAAAAAGGTAAATCCGCAAAACAAAAATTTTTTGATCAAAACTCATTTTCCTTAACATAAATTTCAGCAGGAATTTAGAAAAAATTTCATAAAATTTTATTGCATTCTTTGCTTGAAGAACAATGCATTTCGGAACATGGACTAATAACGAAAGATGATAATTTCAAAACTTTATTTTAGTACCGTTGGCCGGCAGTCTATTCTATTTTAGTACCGTTGGCCGGCAGTCTATTCAATTTTAGTACCGTTGGCCGGCAGTCTATTCTATTTTAGTACCGTTGGCCGGCAGTCTATTCAATTTTAGTACCGTTGGCCGGCAGTATTTTCTATTTTAGTACCGTTGGCCGGCAGTCTATTATATTTTAGTACCGTTGGCCGGCAGTATTTTGTTTACAGTTTATT